CATTCTAATAACACCGAACATTAGCCAAGCAGCACAAATGCTGGCCGACTTCAACCGAAAAGTCAAACTATCACTGAATCTCACGAAGATAATGTTTATGAGAAATGGTCTTGTTCCTGACATTAGATGTGTGTAGGGGTTTTCTCTCATCCTATGCAGGTTTCTCCCTAGTCCATCTCTTGCAGATATGATGTTTAATTTCTCCCCATCAATTCTTCCACTGTCCTCCTTCCACCCCAATGTTTATGTTTCTTTATGGGCATATGGTATTCTTTCTCTCTGATACATACCTAGACAGAGAATTAGTGGTGTTTCTGAAAAACTTTTATCGCTTTAAACAGTTTAAGTAAAAGTAATTTTGAGTTATCTTAAGTAGTATTTTCTTTCTTCCTACACTGATTTTTAATTATTTTAAGTTTTTTTAATTGTGTATGTCAATATTTGTTTATGATGTTAGACTCTTTGGATGTGCTTATTTTGAAAAGTGATGTGCATTTTTGAAAGGGGACTTGATAGTGGCATTTTAAAAAGTTTCTTTTCCTGCTTCAGATTATTAGAGTAGTATTCTGTTACATAACTAGCCTTTTTGTATGTCCATGATTAAAACAGCCAGTTGTTGGGTTTTTATTCTTAAACAACCAGAGAGTAAATATTTTAGACTTTTCAGGTCAAGGAGTTTCTGTCATGAATGCTGTTGCTTTGTAATATAAAAAGAGCCATAAGCCAATTGTAAATGAGTGCATTGCAATGAAACTTTATAATAACAGGCCTCTGATCCACAAACAATGTTTTGCTAACCTTTGACCTTATTAATATTTAAGGTTCTCATCAAACTTTTGGATTGAGATGGCTAAATGTGTAACTTTTTCTGGTTATAAGTAAAAGTTATAAGTCTGGTTATAAGTTATATTTAATTTCAGATAGACTGGAAAATAATAGTTCAGACAAGCAATACCACAAAATTTAATATGTTGACATTTCATTGGATTGATGCTGATTCGTCAGAGGGCAGAATTTGTTTTTTGTGGGTAGGGAAGGCATGAATAAGCAGTATCATATCAGAAGATTTCCCCTTCTCTGATTCCCATTCCCCATCCTAGAGAACCAGTAATTTGCTTTCTATTTATACCTTTGTAGTACTTTATATAGAATAAAACATGTGGTCTTTGTAAGTGTAATTCCATTCATTTGTGCAAACTGTCTATGATTTGTGACTGATCAAATTAGAGTGAAACTGCCAATTCAAATCAGTTATAACTTTACACTCATGAGGTATCGACCTATCAACTTACCTTTGTATGTGTGTGCATGTGTGCATGTGTAATATGTTTTTCCTGCTGATTTTTTTAATATGATAGAAACAAAGAGAAATTATATAACCTTATACCAGCTTAATAGAGGGACTATTACTTGTGTAGACCTATGTAATAAGTTTTTTTTTTATAATCAAGTAAGATTGTTGTTTATACTGTTTCCTTGTTTCAGTGATTTTCTTTTATGTTTTACTTGAATGTTTCAGTAATAAGCTTGTATATAAAAGAAGAATGTTGCTGGAATTCTGATTGGTTTAAAAACAAATCTACCACATGATTTAAAAAGAAAGATAAAGTGACTTTCATGGAAGAGTTTTTTTTTTGTGGATTATATATTTTATATAATACAGGGACGAATGGAGATGTTACTGGGCCTGCTCGAGCGAATCGATGAACAGTGGGGTGATAGTGATAGTGATAAAAGGTAAAAGGTAAAGGCCCTCCCGTTGATTGTCGATTTGCTCGAGCGGGCCCAGTAACATCTCCATTGGAGACTTTGTTGTTACTGTGTTTGGCATATCGAATACTCTCGGTAGCTTGCCGGGCTCTCCGAGGGGGGCGGAGGAATCGAACTCGGGTCGGCCATGTTGGCCGCTTGTAAGGCAAACGCCCTATCGCTGTGCTGTTGCTCCAGCCCAGCTCCAGTGATAGTGATAGTAATATATATTTTATGCATGCATACTTACTTGATTAAAGACCTTGCTTAGATCAACTAATGATTTCCCTTATGTTAAAGCTCCAAAAGACAGTTAACATAAATCATATGAGAAAGTTAGGTAAATTGCTGAAGATAACAGAATAGAAGGCTTGATTTGCCATTTGTTTTCATTTCTAGATTTATATTGGTATATAAAGTATCACCTAAGTGTTAAACTATTTTAATACTTTGTCAACGGCTTAAATAGAAAGTCTCACAGAAGCCTTAAAGTAAAGATCAATACTTTATTAACAGTTTAAATATCATCTATTTTAGAGATTATGATATTTTTTAGCTTTAGAGCAAATATACTGATACTGTTATGCTTTTCAGCTGCCCTTATCTTCCTTGTCAGTGGTAACTATCTGGGATATGGAATACTAGATTTTAACTTTTAACTTTGTTTTAACTTTGTTATTCAAATATGAGATTCTAAATTGTCCTTAATTTCACAAGTTCATTTTTTCTTCAATTTGGAATAAGTGAAATATAAAACGTGGAAAGAGAATAGCTTTTTAAATTTAAATAGTCATCACTGTATGGTTAATCATATATTTATTCGGTAGAATTAATTTCCTTGGGCCATTCTGATAACTTACTTTAACAATCTGCCATTTTAATATTTGTTAAAATGATAGCTCTGTATCTAATCATGGCATAATTCTGATACTCATTGAAAGAAACAGAAAACTAGTTTTCATTTACATTGCTGCATCTTTATTGTTCTTCAGAGCAAAAGATTAGACAGTTTTTAATGACACTTGTTTCTTGATTATGAATTTTGTTTTCTTTTACAAAGCATACATGCTGAAATTAAAATAATGCATATATAAATCGTGTTTAGTTTCCAATTCCTCATGATAGACTCTACACTTTAAGGTGTAGTTATGACATTTTTTATTTTTTTGTAGTTTTGTAATTACCCACAAAGAAAAATGAGAGACAGAATGTCAAGCAGTAAATTTCCAATTCTTATGGAAGTAATAGCTACTGAAGAGAATGCCTAGACAACAAAACCTCTGATCTTTAATAGGTGTCTTCCTTATCAAGTGAGGATTTAAGCTATCCAACTTTCTCACTGTAACATCTTTTAAAATAACTTCATATCTGATCCAGATAAGCCTTTAGCAAAGCATTTTCAGTGGGAGAAACAGCAGGCCTGTGAAACATTTTTGAAGAAAAGTGCAAAGTTTTGCATACTGTATCCTGCTCTTGAGATTCACAATACATATTTCATATTATCACTTCAAAAATTTTGATATACCAGTTTAACTATTTCTTAAAAAAATTTTTTTCCTGAAATTAATTTGCTGTGGAACTCTTTTGACTATATTTTGATACTGACCAAAGCTCTTACTTCATATGCTCAAGTGTTGACATTATTAACTTTAGTAGAGCTTTCCTTTCAAGAAATTCATCATAAACATTTGAATTTATATCCTCACTTGTTTATAACTATGAACAGAAAAGAGGGGAGAATAAATAATAAGTGGAACTTGTTGCTGTTAAAATACAAAATACTAAGCAGAACAAAGACTTTTGCATTGTTCAGTGGTAAAGGAAATTAGTAAGGGGATTGAAATCTTGGAAGGATTTGTTTTAACTATAGATGCCTGGTCATTCACCTATAGTTAGTATTGACCCTTGCATAATATCCACTTTATTCCCCACCACTGTTCAGTAACGTATTGAATTAAATCTTGCATGCCTACAAATTCTCATCACTATATGTATATGTATATGTATATGTATCTGTATCTGTATCTGTATCTGCAGTATAAATGTATTCCAGTTTTCAGTGAAGCACTTGCTTCAAGAAAATGAAATCTAAGAACAGGGACTTAGGCTGTGATGTTCTGGAAATGCAGCAGATGGAGTGCTTTATGAAAGAAGCACTCTTTTCATCTGTGTGAGATCACTTAGATGAAACACATGAATGAGATTTATGCAATGTCTGCTACAGAAATCTATGCATGTACGTGTAGAATCATCTTAGTCACACACACACACACACACACACACACACACACCCTTTACATACCTTTTGTCATGCTTTTTCATAATGGGAATGTAAGGAAGAGGAGGAGCCTGCCAAAAAGAACGTGTGGCCTTTCTGAGGGTTTGAGGAAACTGTGGGGGCAGTCTCTGAGCATTGGCTATGTATATATAAGCTAAGACAGCTAGCCTGGAGCTCAGAAAGCTACTTTGTGCCTTATTTCTGCTTGAGAAAGATGAGTCTTTGCACAAATGCACTAGTGGTTTGTCCTATAAATAGCCTCAGTCACTGGCCCTGCATGGCTATTAGAGGGAAAAGAACAATAAAACAATTTTCAAAAAATCAGAAACACAGGCTACACATGCCTGGAGCTGTCAGCATGGGTAAATTAAATTAAATAGGTATGCTGGCCTGAAACCCACATGGCTAGATCCACAGGTCACTGCCTTGTCCATGGAACTTCATTGATATTGATTAGGCACCTATCTGTGACCAGCACTGGGGGAGGCATGGAGGAAAGGGTGACTAATCCTTAGTAAAAAATGAACAGAAGGGAGGAAAAACAACAGAAACCATGAACTAATAGTGTCTGGGGGAAAAAAAGGATAACCACTTTTAAAGGATCTCTATGTCCTATGTTGCTCCCTATCACATTCTCTGCGAATATCTTAATCTTCTATTTGCACTCTGGTTTTAATTATGCTTATTTTTTTGATCTGTATTTTATTTGAAAAGGCTTATCTGCTTTACGGTTCTAAACATGGAACTTAATAAAACATACCTTCCTCTTTATACTAAGATTTTAGCATCTCTAGAAAAGAATTGGCATTGCTATTTGAGAGTCAAAGAATATGTCTTTTACGAACCTGTATTCAGATGACTCAATTCGGTGGAGGAGTAAAGCTTACATGGTGTCTATTACTCAACATTTACTTTCTTATTTTGTTCAGTGTTTTAAATACTAAAACTCAGGTAAAATGTTTTTCTTTTATAGATTATTGCTCAGTTATAACAATTGTGGACCAGACAAAAGTTAAGTTAACCTGCCTGCTCTTCAGTGGAAATTATGAGTCCCTTCCAATCGTTTATAAAAATGGAGATATTGTTCGCTTTCACAGGCTAAAGGTATAATTCATAGTCTTGAACTTATATTTGTTTGAAGTGAGCTCTGTGTTGTTCACTGAGGCTATTTAGGACTTGACTCTATGATTGTTTTATTAGACTATGGCATCAAACATATCAAGAGATAAGAGATAATATAAATAACATCAAATGTTAGGATAATTTATTCTTAGATATAACTTCATTTTAAAACTATCTACTCCACTTTTATAGAAATTTATTTCATGCCAGCATCTAGACTAGTTAAATTCTGTCTTCTAAATATAAGATGAATGCTTTCAAAGTTTTCCATGTCGAGATTATTAATAAATACTTTTTTTTAAAGCCTTACCATTTGTCCTGCAAGTGGCTGACCTGGGTTTAATCACTGACATCCCATACGAATCCCCAGCAAACCTGCCAGGAATGATTCCTGAGTGCAGAGCTAGGAGTAAGCCCTAATGGGCACAGCTGGGTATGGCTCCAAAATAAAACGAAAGTTTTCATTAAGAAAAGTGTCTAACTGGCAAAGCTTAATAGTTTGGGTTTTGTTTGTTTGTTTGTTAGTGTTTTTACTTTTGTGTATTGTCTTACTAGTTTCCGTTATGTTCCAGATGAATTAGTATTTGTCTTTCTTTAGTATTGGTATTTTTATTTGTATTTATACAAATAAGACAGTAGTATTTGTCTTTCGCGTGACTTACTTTGTTTAATATGACACCCTCTAGTTACAAATTAATTGTAAAAACAATGAAAATTTGCATCTTTTTCACCTTTCTGTAATAAATTTTATCACTTATACACAATGTTACTATTCAGTGCAAAATAAAATGCTATCAACCAGAAACTTGGTTGTTAGATTTTTTTAAAAATCAGCAATTGGGTAAATAAATAGGCAACATTTTAAAAAGTTATTTCCACTCTTGACTCAAAGATTAAGAAATGCCTTCTCAAACAAACCTATTATTGTAGAATAAATTTAGCACCAGTAATATGAAAGCAGGGTGGTATAGTGGAATGAAATTATATCACTGAAGTACTATGCCCTCAGAATAGTAGACTTTATGTACATTTTAAAAGTCAGGTCCTTGTAGCTATAATCACTTAGCCACAGCTGCTCTTCATTCTTTCAGCCTCATGTTTAAGTATTCTAATTTTTCTTAGTATACTCACAAACAACTTATCCTTTTGCCTTTTGTAAATTATGTCTTATATCTTTGTATTCTATCTTTTACAATGTTAAAAACATTGTAAAATCCAAGTTTTTGTAAGATCTAGTTTTAGAGAATTAAGAAATCTATCACTTAGGTCTTTGAAAATGAGGAGTATTTTAAAATTTTGTGCAGTATTGCTTGAAGATCTTCATATAGTCCAGTAAAATTTTTAGCTTCCTGTGCTACTTAAGTGAAATATGTTAAAGAATTATATGCTTATTAACTCTTCTAACAAGATTTTAATGTTTTGTGTTTTTTTTTTTAATACTAGGCTTTACATCAGTTAGCTATCCTGCTTGATTGTGTTCTATTTTCTCTTTTATCCACTTCCTTAGATACAAATATATAAAAATGAGACTCAGGGTATCACCAGCTCTGGCTTTGCATCTTTGACTTTTGAGGGGACTTTGGGGGCTCCTGTCATTCCCCGCACTTCAAGCAAGTATTTTAACTTCACTTCCGAGGATCGCAAAAAGGTGGAAGCCTTACGTGTTTGGGCATCTACTAATATTTCACCTTCTCCGGCATTAGTAAAATTGTGTGACGTTCAGCCAATGCAGTACTTTGACCTGACTTGTCAGCTCCTGGGCAAAGCAGAAGTGGATGGAGCTTCGTTTCTTCTAAAGGTAGATAGATTTAAATGCCTGAAATTCTAAGTTAGTACCACTGACATAAAATGAAGAATTTATACCAGTATTATGATAGAAAAGATTTTCATATGTTCTTCTATATGAACAGTTTAAAAATCTAATTGAGCATTTAAGAGAATGTTTTGTTAAAGTAGCAATACAATATATAGTGGATGTTTCAGGTATCTATCATTGAAAAATAAAACCAATGTATAGTAAATATACGACATATACTACATTAATACTTACCATTATAATGTATTATAATGTGCATGGATATCCAAGCAATGCCACTTTTCTCCTTTTTACACTATTTCCAGAAAGAGTATTCTCATATATACATTTTCAAACATAGTAGTTTGTGCTATATATCTTTCCTTATTTTAATTATATTGTGATGGGAAATGCATAATTTCTGTGCATATTTCTGTCTCCTTGTTAAGGGAGCCTTCGTTCTTACTCTCATGACCCATTGATGTTGGGTTTCTTTCCCATCTCACTGCATGTTTGATGGGCAGATCATTCATAAGCATGATGGTTTTGCGTATGTATTATGGTTCTCATTATACTGTTCTCATTTTTGTTATTAAATGAGCAGAGTAGAAAGAGTAACATAAAACTCATCTATGTTGGTATGTACCCTACTGGAAAAGACTATCTGATGTCATCCTGACTTACCAGACTGAGCACAGTGTTATTGAAACAAACATTGCCTCATCCCTGATCTATGGTCATTTAGCTTCTGACTCTGTGGAATGGTAAAATTAGAAATGGAATACACAGTGGCTCTTGGGTGAATTGGATTCAGCATTATTATCATTTATATCTTGTTCCTATTTGGGTATAGTTAAAAATGGAAATCATGGAATCAAGTAAGAACTGCTTGAAGCAAAGAGAGCTCATCTTTGAGGCAGTCGCTCCCCTCCTTTCTTCCCTCCCTGCTCCTGTAGCTATTTTTGTAGCAAAACTTCAAAAATGGCTTCTCCCCCAGAATAAAGAAAGCAAACAACAAATCACATCTGTCTACATACCTGAAATACTTCATAAAAGTAAATGAATATTATTAAGAAGTAAGCATGATGAAGCTGAAAGCAGCATATGGTCACAAAATATACTTAGGGTCTAAGTCACATCATAAACAAATGAGCATTTATTAATCCTGGAACACTACTAATGACAAGAATTCTATGGTGCAGATAAGTCTATTAGTATCTGTGATACACTCATTTTAATAATTCAATAGACATTGTCACTGGTTTATATTCAAGTCACAATTTAATAAATACCTGTAGTATATATCTGGTAACATATACGTTACTCTGCAGTTGTTTTTTAAACTTATTAGAGAGATTTTTCATATCATCCCCTGAGAAGATCTTGGCTTTCTAGGGCCACCATAATAAATTACCACACACTGGGTAGCTTCAAATAATAAAATGTGTGTTCTCCCAGATCTGGAGGCCCAAAGTTCAAAATCAAGGCATGAGTAAGGTGTTCCTCCTCAATCCTTCCTCGCCCCTTTTTAGTTTGTGCTGCTTGCTAGTATTCTTTGGCCAGCCACGTTCCTACACCAGACCCCATCTGTTCTCTCTGTCTTCAAATGGTTCTGTTCTGGAGTCTAGATTTTTCTCTTCTTTTAAGGGTCTCAGTCAAGTTCAGTTTTAGGGCTCACCCTAACTTGAGTGTTACATTAGGGCTCACCTAATTCCATATGACTTCATTTTAATTCTTTATAAACAGCCACTTCTAAAGATTCCAGGGAAACATTTTGACCTAGGACACTATCCAACTGCTTGGGTTTAATTATATGACATTATAAAAGTCTCACAATGAAGATGTTACTGGTGCCCGCCTGAGCAAATCGATGAACAACGGGAGGTCAGTGCTACAGTGCAGTGCTACTTGTAGATGTTTTGTTTTAGATCATGTTTATACACTTAGGAGGTAAACTTAAACATTTTGTGTTTCACATTTGCCATTACACATTTATCTGTAAACACAACCAGCTACGTGTGAAAGCACGTTTCTTAATAGCATAGTGTATAGGGATTGTTTTATGTCGTAGATGATATAAAAAAATATACCATTGACAAATAAGTTTACAGTCTTAAAAATGAAGCCTGATTACTCTTATTTTTAAAAATAAAACGGTTTTCTAAATGAAGAGTGATACAGACAGATTTTCATATGGGAAAGTTAAATATCAGAAAGTGTTATATGGAACTTTGGTTTTTGTTGAGCCATACACTTTTGGTGGGACTTGGTTCTGGATGGAGTTCTCGGGGCTTAACCTGAATTGCTGCATGCAAAGCAAACGCCTTACCCACTGTACTATCTTTCCCACTCCTGTATGCAACTTTTTATGTTGACAAATAGGAAAATCAAAGTTTGAGTTAAATTGACTCATGATTGATATTTGCATTCCCAGGGATGGAAGCTAGGATCTCACACATGCAAAGCAAGTGCTCTATTACTGAGATACATCGCTGCCCCTTAGTTTATTTTCTAAACTTAAATCTAACTTATGTTTTTTTTTTTAATTTCAGTGAATTTAGTATGCAAAAATAGTTCTGATTCCAGATGGTAAGTTCTCTCAAGCTGAATTAGACCAAAGCAGATTAATATCTCCCCAAACTAGCTATATAGATCAGTTTCATTCATGAATCTGGAAAACAGAATTCATCAAAAACTATAAAACAGTTCAATTAAATGAAAAGAATATAAATATAATTCTACATTTATTTTCAGGATTCAGAAATGGTTTCATTTCAGAAAAATTATTGTCATCTTCATGATGGCATATTTAGTGTTACCTGTTAAAAAAATTGTTTATAAAAATGTTTTAACAGAATAAAAAGTATTTCTTCTCCCTTAGTTTCTATACTAAAGTAAAATGGTTTTATTAGAAAAATGTAAAGCAAGTCATGAGAGCATTGAGGTGCACATCTTGAGTCATGGTGTGGACAGCAGAGAATGCAAGCAGATATTCCCCCTTAAGACACAGTTCTTATCATTAGGTAAAATAGTGTTAAAATTTAGGAACTTCTGACTCAGTGCTTGGCTGTTGCCCCTGGTTCAGCTGGAAAGCAGTGGGAGTTACCGTGTGGAGCTGGGGAGCTGAGGGTTGTTCCTTGGTCTAGGGCATGCAAAAGTTTGCACCCCAGTCCATTGTATTCTCTTTGGATCAACGCAGTTTTAATTGACTGTAATTCTGAAATTTCTTGGAGAAGTTAAGTGATCAAGACTAAAATAGGAAAATCTAAGTGGCACTTCTATTATGAAAGTGTAATATTAAATCTTTAGTAGACTGATGACTAAAAAACCCTAGGGACCTCAAAAACAGTCTTTTATATTTAATACAATACATAATCAGATAACTGACATGTTTAATTGACAAAGAAAGATTATTAAATGTGAATCATTATCTATCTGGAAAATTATTTAGGTCTGTGTATATAGTATACAAATGCATAATAGATTAAGTTTTGATATGAAATTTTTAATTGACTTTTAGGCACTTAAAACTGCAGCAGAAAATAATTATAGCCACAGTCTACCCTCTGAAACTTTTCCCCAGAGACTCATAGATTGGTCTGTAAAGCTGTCTTGAAGTTACAAAAAACAGTGTACTCAAAATGAAATAACAAACACCAAGTGGAGAAAACTGTTTGTGATACAGTATTATTACAGTTCCCAGAGGGATTGTCCTCTGCTTTGAATAATTTAGGGAACAGTGTGAAACTTACTCATAATTGTTTATCTGAAAACAGCAGTATCATCAGCATGATCCATTACTTCCTTTATTATCTGACGCTGGCAAACACTTTCTTTATAGAAACAGTGTTTTCTAAATAGAATAGTTATTCTTGACCAGCCAAGCTTCTGACATTTCCACTGCAGAGACATTTACAACTCATGTCATATTAAACATCTTTTTCATTCCCTTTTATACTCTTGTGTACCCTAGTTTATCTCTTGAAAGCTTATCCATGCACCCTACACATGCAGGCCAACTCATACCTTAAGGATGAAGTAGGACCCTATTCATTGTGTTCATGTCCCCTTCTTTTTGGGAATCTTCAAAGTAGCTTGAGTTTTTTTTTTTTTTCCCCCACTAGCACCCATGACTTTTATCAATTTATATTTCTAGCAGCCAATGTAAGCAAATATTCATAGTTTTTTTAAAAAATATTTTCTAAATCATAACAGTGGGGGAGAAATTAATTGGAACCAGTGAGATGGTACAGGAGGTAAAATGCTTGCTATTTTTAAAAATTTTGGTCTTAGGATCACATCCAACAATGCCCAGGGAGTACTCCTGGCACTGCTCTGGGGACTGTGTGAGGTGCCAAGGATTGAACCCAGGTCAGCTGCATGCAAGGCAGACACCCTTTCTGCTGCACCATCACTCCAGTCCTCCAGTCCCAGGAGTTAAAATACTTTCTTGCATATGGCTGGCCTAGATTCCATCCCCAGCACTACACATATGGTCCCCTGAGCACCATGAGGAGTGATTCCTGAATGTAGATCCAGACTTAAGCCCTGAGCACCACTGGGCGTGTGGCCCCCAAAAGCAGAAAAATAGAAGGATAAAAGCCAGCATATATTCTTAAAAGCTGGGAATTTGCACAGGAAAATTAAAAGGGAAGTTTTTAAATCCCTTAATTGTATGAGAGAAAATTCTCCTTTTACTTTTAAGTTCTCTGGCTGGTCTAATTTGATACAAAGCTATTAAAAGGAGAAGAAAGCAAAGTTAATTTGGGGTCTGGAAGGTTTTTTAGTAATGTGGGACTCAAAAGTGACCAGTATGCAAACTTTTTAGTCAGACGACAATAAATAGCTTAGGACTGGTTGCTTGGTAATGTAATATAGCTTGTGTGTGTCACTTTCTGGACCCTCATTATTTTCTCTCTGGTGGAAGGGATGCCTCTTCTTCCTAAGGCAGGGGCAGTTTATCCTGCTCTCAAGGGTATAGAAGAAAGCCAGAGGGTATCCTTCTTGCGTTGGTCATTTCTTCAGTAACCCTAATTCTTAGTAAGTTGGGTAACCTTCCCTGAACCCCATCATAATATGAAAAATGAGAATTACTAAATTGTCTAAAATGCCATATGTTTGAAATACCCCAAACATCAAAGGGGGTATTTAATAAATGTTGAGTGTATGCATGAAGCCATTGGAAGTACTTTAAAGAATAAAGGCTCTTGTTAGCCCATGTTCTCTCGTGATATTTTTTTCTAGACGTGTCTTATCATGTTTTTCATTTTTCTTCTTAACTTATACAGCCCTTTTATATTCATTGAGAATTATTCATCATATTTAAAGTTTAGCATAGGTTTGGGAATATACTTGATTACATTGTTTGTATTAACAGCAGATAAAACTCTTAAGTCTTTGCCATTTCACAAAAGATAATTACATTTTTCTCTCCTTTGGTGACAGGTTTGGGATGGCACAAGGACACCCTTCCCTTCTTGGAGAGTATTAATACAAGAAAATGCTCTTCTTGGTGACTTAAATCAGATCCACCAGCTGCAGAATCTGACAGTAGACATTGTAGTCTATGATAACCATGTTCAAGTGGCAAAGTCTCTGAAGGTGATATTATGCTATTTGGGCAGTTTTGTGTTTTTGGAAATGGGAAAAACCTCATTTACAGATAATTTTCACAATGTTGAAATGTAAAATTTGTTTGTATACAATTTTAATTTGTAAACATCTATTTTGGATGATGAGGAAATGCAATAGATTGACTCAAACAACTATTTTAAATGAAATATATCTTCCATATTTTAAAACTACACAATTTTAGGGGTAGGAGATAGGCCACTTACCTTGCACGTGTCCAACCCAGGTTTGATCCCCAGCAACCTATACTGTTCCCTGAACCTGACTGGGAATAGTCCTTAGTGTAGAATGCGAGTATGTCCTGAGCATCGTCAGGTGTGGCCCAAAATCAAAAAGAAAAATGAACAAAACTATACAATTTTACTATGACATTATTGTGAAAGATTTCTGGCTCTACTTAAAGGATGTTTAAGTATATGTAAACTTAACTGATAAGCTTTTAACTTTATCAAAGTCTAGTGACTTTATACTCATAAGAAAACTCTAAACTCATTTCTAATATATATAATAATTTATATCTGTGTTTTTATTGTACAGTTGACTAGAACTCCCGCCGATTTTGAAATAGATTTTTTAGTAAAAGCATACTGTTGTGATATTACATTTAATAGTCTTTTAAGGATGTTTATTGTTTTTTAATATCTTTTATTTGTGATACATACTACTGTTAATAATGATAATAAGAGCAACATTTGTTAAGCACTTCTGATATATCTAGTAGTGGAGAAATTATTTCACCTAATTCCCATTTTACAACTGAGAAAACCTCAGAAGCTCAAGGTTTCATACTTGGTTGGGTGTGGCCAGCCTTTGACTCTATAGTATTTGTTTCCAGCCCTCATAAAAACTATAAATAAATGATTTTCCTTATTGTAAATAAGGACCTTGAGGGAGTTCCACAGCCTGCTTATAGGAAGAAAACAACAAAAGTGAATTCTTATTATTTAAAAAATGAATTTTAGTTGCCAGGGTTTTTTTGGAAATAAGTGTTTTGTAGGAGGAAATATTTCAACTCAGGTTACTTACTGAAGTCAAATTTCAAAATTAGGTTAAAGGCACGGTTTAGGAATTAAACACATTTTCTTGTTCTTTACATGATTACACATATGCATATACCAACTTGTCCGAGAAAATTGAGAGTGTAAAGTACATTTTGATGCATTTCTAGTTCGTGTATATTTTTTTCAACATTAGTTATATTTAAATATAATGATTTTAAAACTATTCTAAAGATTTACATTTTAGATTCTCTTTACTTTTCAAATCTCTTTAATTTTCCTATACTGCCTCTGCTTCTGTATTATTTCTGTTTCCCTTGGCGTCCCTGATTTTCTTATAATCTAATTTCTCTATAGTACTTAGTGCAGTATGTTTTGGAGAAAGTATGAAGTAAATAATACCCACTGGTGAATGACAAAGCTGTATGCTGTGACCTGTCTTTTCTGATTTTTTTTTTTTGTCTCTTGTGTGTTTTATATCACCCACTAGAGGGTGCTGTGAGCACACAAAATGTGACCACAATAATTTTCCTCTGAAGGATTGCAGGATATTTTATTTTTTTCTATGTAGTAATGTGGACATTTATTTTAATGTACATTGGCATCACATTTTGGGGGGACAATCAGAATACCGTTTCATAAAAATTTAAGAACTCAGGATTAGATGAAATAATAAAAGTTAGCACTTGATGGTATTTTACATTATTGCTATACTAAAATTTTTGGAATGCATTTGTTGTGTAGGAAAGAGGGAAATCTATTTTTTTATTTTAAAATAAATAGAACAGTTAAGGCAATTATACACTTTACAGCTTAAGTTGCTACCAGCATTTTCCCTAAATCTAACTTAAGTGTTATTTTAATCCCTAGACATTTTGCACAGACACACGTGCACACAAACACACATGCACACAAAGACATACACTAACATTTCAATTTTTTTTTACACGGAAGTTAAAGCATTATTTTATTAATTATCTGTCTCATCCTGACAGTTGTAAAAGATAATTGCAGTTGCAAAACATATATAGTCATAATTGAATTTTTGCCTTCATTGACCCCAGAGTTATGGTTGGTTATTCTCAGACATAAATAGGTTAGTAAATTGTTCAACTTACTTGTGCATTCTAACCTTTTTTTAAAAATTTATTTAAATTGTTTCTAAAGGTAATGATTTTTTCAGACCTGCATTTACTTTGTTTTCTTTTTAGTGTTTCTATATTGAAATGGGATTTTAAAACATTTTTTAAAGCATTGTTTAATTTATTTTTTGGATATGAATTGCTTGATTTTTATTTTTGGAAACTTCCTACATTGCTAAAAGACAAAGCAGTATTTGTCTATAATAATAGAGCATCTCACACATTTTTGAAATGCATTTAGCAAGCTTAAAGAGAATACAATGCTGCCTCCAGAAGGAATTTCTGGAAATAACAGCTTGCCATATTAATTGCCTATTTATGTAAGTAAATTCTCTCTTGATCTTTAAATTTTATTATATTATGAAATACATTTGTCAAGAAATAGTATAATAAACACCAATGTACCTACCATTCAAATTGAATAATTTAACATAATTTCCTTATACTTATTTCAGAACTTTCAACTTTTTTAAAGTAAGATGTTTATTTTTAAAATAATAAGGTTTTAAAATCAGATTATTTAAAAATAATTTTATAAAAATACTAAAGTTCTTTAGTTCTAAACATTTTCATATTTTGCTCCCCAATAGCCCCCATCTGTTTTATTAATTCCATCCACGGTCCACTGTCCTCCCGTTGTCCATCGATTTGCTCGAGCGGGTCCAGTAATGTCTCCAGCATGAGACTTGTCGTTACTGTGTTTGGCATATCGAATACGCCACAGGTAGCTTGCCAGGCTTTGCCGTGCGGGCGAGATACTCTCGGTAGCTTGCCGGGCTCTCTGAGAGGGGCGGAGGAATCAAACTTGGGTTGGCATGTTGGCCACTTGTAAGGCAAACGTCCTACCGCTGTGCTATCACTCCAGCCCATTAGTTACATATACCATTTTTTTAATTCTTTTATATTACATACTCTTATATGAGACATATATATATGTGTAATTCTCTAATTTTTACCCTTTGATACATTCTTAAGATTTTTCCATGTTCATAGGTATTTCTGCTTTTAATACCAGTATCCTAATTATTATGAATTTTATAAAGTGATAGATTATAGCTTAAGCCTTGCTCTTTCCCACAGCTTAGTTTACAAAATAGAACCTTCTTTCTGCACACTGTGGAATCTCTGAAATGTGACTGACTTATAGTTAAACATGACTATATATATGCATATATATATAAGGAGAGAGAGAGATGGGAATACACATAACCAGATGTTTTATATACATACATATCTATTCACAGATGTGTGCATAATACCCGTGTGTGTGTGTGTGTGTGTGTGTGTGTGTGTGTGTGTGTGTTGCACACTTGGGTTTTGGCTCTGCCAGACAAGTGTTTTAGAATATTGATGTTTTTGAATGTTGATGACATGCTAGTGTAGCGTACAAGCATTTGTTCTAATTGGTCAGTGTCCTTCTTTTAGACTATGGATTTTAGTGGTCACTGGATAGTTTTGAGTATAAGAAATTGTTTGACTCTTCTTCATTTTCTAAATAGCAAATAATCTAATTTCAGGTTGGAAGCTTTCTTAGAATCTATAGCCTCCATACCAAGCTTCAGTCAGCAAATTCGGAGAGCCAGTCAACATTTTTAGCCCTAGAGTTTCATCTCCATGGAGGTACCAGCTATGGTCGGGGAATCCGAGTCCTGCAGGAAAATAATTCTGATGTGGATGAATTGAAAAAGTAAGCATAAACATACACATAAGCTACCGAGAGTATCCCGCCTGCAAGGTGGAGCATTATAAGCTCCCTGTGGAGTATTCGATATGCCAAAAACAGTAACAAGTCTCACATTGGAGACATTACTGGTGCCTGCTCAAGCAAATCGATGAGCAATGGGAGGAAGTGCTACTATACACATATTTGGAAATTCTAAGTCAGGTGTGAGGCTGATTGCTAAAGTTATGCCGTTTTGAGGTGGAAAGTGTCAAGTTTAGGGCCAGGGTGGGGGTGTGTGTGGGGGAGGAGAGACCTGATAGATTCCTTGTAATTTATTCCTGTAGTCTTCTTACCAAGTTTTGCGTGTTTTTTTTTTTAATAGATGAGCTAAATGAAACAAATCAAAGGGTTGTGCATTCAAATAGCTAAACAAGCTCACTTAGGTTTATAGCTTCTATTAGTGATATATGATTTCTGCCTTTGTCTTTATGCTCTTCTGTCATTTGGCATACTGCAAATCCAAGCAATAAACAGGGGAATCTGAAGCTTAGCTAAAATTTGGAAAACCTTTGATGTATCTAGAATTTTAAACATACTGATTCCTGCCATAACAAAAATACTACTTTTCTAAAAGTGAGCTTATGTATTTGTAAAAGAAGTAGTTTATTGCATACATACATAGACTTTTTTATGCAGTTTAATAAGTTCTTAGTTTCTCTGCATAGAGCTAAACTAACGTCATTTGTTTCATGCATTTTTAAATGATATCCTTTCATATTTCAGGGTTTTAAAAGCTGCATATTCGACTGCCAATCAGTGTTCAGAAGGTATCCGTCCATTAGAAGTGGAAGACAACTTTCCTACTCTTTCAAGTATGATCAGTTTTTCACATTGACATTTTAGTTTCTGCTGAGTAAAATGGTCTACCTATATTAATCTTGTTTTTCTTTAAACACCTTCCTATCTTTTTTCTCTCCCCACTAACGCCCCTCCCCCATGTTTTTAATTAATTCTTTATTCATTGTAAAATAAATTCTGGAATGATTTATATATCCTGTGAAAATTGAACATTTTGGGGACTGGAGACATAATACAGTTGGCAGGGTGCTTGCCTTGCAGTCCTGAATTAGTATGGTGGGATTACTCGGCTTGTAATAATGTTGTGATTGTGTTTATATGTTTACATCTTTAGTCTTCATTGTAATTCATGATTAGGCCAGGGAGCTAGCACAGTGGGTAAGGTGCTTGGTTTGGATGCCACAGGCTATCTGGGTTCAGTCCCCAGCATGGATGATGGTCCTGAGCAGAGCCGTGTGACCCCCAATATAGGAAAAGAGAAAAATAAAAATCATTCCGTGATCTATATTGTAGGTCATACTTATACACACACACACACACACACACACACACACATACACACACACACATACACACACACGTACTTATCTTACAGTTTTTAACGCCCTCACTAATATGATTTAAACAAACACTTCATTATTATTTAATCTTTCTTTACTATTAGTGATACATTTTAAATTAATATACATTTCTCGGAAGTCATTTAGCAAAAACTGGCATGCGTTATTATTTTAACAGCATACTTACTGAGGCTGATATTTTTCTTCTCTTTTAGTGAAGAGGGTCAAACAGTTTACCCAGGATTGCTTAGCTGTTAACTGGTGGCAAAGCTATCATATTCAAGTGGAGCGATTTTATTTGTTTTTGACTAATTTTATTTGCTCATTCTCTTTGCTTCAAAACTCTCTACATTTCCTAGTACCTAATTGATGCCATTTTAGCCTGATCTGTGATTACTTGAACTCCCATTAGGTGGCCAATTTACTTCAATTGACAGCCATTTGCAGATAGTATAATTTGTTATTATGCTTTTTGAAATTGTTTTTCCTAATAAAGGGGTGTTTAAATTATTTTTAAATTGCAAAAGTGATATGTGCCGTACAATCTAATAACATGGCTTTTCCATGCCTTTATACCAAGCCTGTGAGGTTAATGTGAATAGTTGCTACGATTCCTTCAGTACCTTTATATTTTTTTACAAATTGGCTATATATAAACAGTTTTTTTTTCTCTTTAAAATGTTTAAAAATGAAATTATATGATACCAGTTACTTTCTTTAACTATATTTTTCAAGCCACTTTCTAAACTAACTGAGTAATTCAAACTCATTATAATAGTTTCATAGTATTTTTTAATATATTGTAAAATATATGTCATTATACAGTATTGCATAATGAGGTATTTACGCTAAACTCAGAATTCCCAATTAGAGAACAGCTGCCTGACAGTTGCGAGGTTTGAATCCTCTCTTGGATTAGCTAATCAACTCTTTTTTTTCTAACTTAACCACTGAAACCATTTTTTTAAATTTCTGTTGACATAAACTAGACAAGCATACAAGATAAACACATTGGTAGAGTAGATACATATAATTACCAGTACGTATGACTTTTTTTCTTCTCAAATCATACTGATTTTTTGGCCTTGAAATCCATTCGGTCCTGCTAAGATTATTTGTACACTCTGTTTCCTCTTCCTGGTATTGGCCTGTTTTATCTTTTTCTAACCTACTCATGTCAGATGTTGATGTAAAGACAAAAAAAAAGGAAAAAAAACCCTGCCCACAGGGCAGAGTCTGTCTGGCAAGCTACCCTGACATATTCAATGTGCCAAAAAAGGGTAACAAGTCTCATAATTTGTTGGTGAGACTTTACTGGTGCCCGCTCAAGCAAATCTATGAACAAGGAAGGACAGTGCTACAGTGTTTTCTATCTCAGTAGTTTCAACTTTTGTTCATTGCTCTATTCCCACTGTCTTGTTTGTAAAACAGCATATAATCTCACTTTTTACTCAATTCAGGAAACTCCATCATTAACAATGAATTCACTATGTTCATATTTATCATGTTTATTGATACGTTTCCATATTTTGTCAAATTAACCTTGTTTTCACTCTTCCATGTAATGTTTTCATGGTTCTCTTTTAAATCCCCCCCCCATCCTTTTATTTAGTCTCTTGACAGCATTTTGTTTGTTTCGAACCAATTGTTATTCAACTCAGTACGTAACTGTTCCAATCAAGCTCATATTTTGGAAGATGTGGTTAAGCAAAGGCATGTGTCGGATAGTGGTGGTGACAGGACTCGAACCCAGGGCCTCACACACATGCAGCACATGCTCCTCCTCTGTGCCATATCCCCCAGAGGCCTCAAAGATAATTCTTTTTAGGATGATTATATATTTCATTTTACTTTTTTAAATAAATTTATTGAATCACTGTGTGAGAATCACCGTCCCTTCACCAGTGCCCATTTTCCACCACCAAAAACTCCAGAATATCCCCTATCCCATACCCTCTCCCTACCTGTGGGGCAGATGATTTCCACATTACTCTGTCTCTCTCTTTCTCTACTTAGATTACATTCAGTACTTCAACACCAGATCCACCATTATTATTTGGGATTTTACCCCAACACTCAGGTCTGCCGAAAAGGCAACATTAGGCAATTTGTTTTCTATTACTAATTATGGACTGGAGCTATAGCACAGTGGGTAGGGCATTTGCCTTGCACGTGGCCGACTCAGCCAACCCGAGTTCGATTCCTCCGCCCCTCTCGGAAAGCCCTGCAAGCTACTGAGTGTATCTCGCCCGCACAGCAAAGCTACCCGTGACATATTCAGTATGCCAAACACAGTAACAGTTGTCACAATGGAGACGTTACTGGGCCTGCTCGAGCAAATCGATGAACAGTGGGAGGACAGTGCTACAATGCTATAAAATATATAATTACAAAATATATATTCTATAATTCAGCCATTCTTTATTGATAGCCATTCATAGTTTGTAGTTTTTTTAATTTTCAATAAAATTTTGTTAAATATTCTTAGACAATTTTACTCTTATGCCTTATTCCTCTAAAATTGCTGAAAGTGAGGTTTATGCATTAGAATTAAAAAAAACAGGTTTCTGCATCAGAATATATACATCTTTTAGCCTAATTGATGCAGCCAAATGTCTTACAGTTTACATATGAATCTTATTTACAAAAATAGCCTTTCCTTGCACCCTCATTGTATGTATTGAATGCCCACACACTGACCCACTAACTCATACTAACACAGTTTGTTATAGTTTGTCAGGTACTATTTGTTTAGTTTCCTGGTGTATTTGGGAATTTGAAAAGTTTATTATCAGCTCTATTTATTCCTGCTTTGAACTGTTCTTGCACTACCTTGTCCCTAATTGTCTATTGGGTTTTTCATCTCTCTCTTTTATTTTTTTTTTTATGGGAGACTATCTGTATATTATCACACATTTGCTCTTATTTTCATTTTTAATTATAGGTGATTTTTAAGTTTTTTGTCATTTATATTTCATGTAAGATGACAGTTATTAAACAGATTTATTTTAGTTATATTTTATCAGCATAGCATTCCATTCAAGATTTTTGGGGTTTTTCCTGGAATTTTTCTGCCATTTATTAGTTATGTTGAGAAAGGTCTAGTAATACATATATATGTATTAATCCCACATCAAAAAATTATAGAAAGATACTGTACACATAATAAAATCTCAGTAAAAATGATTGTGAACTATTAATATTTTTTAGTTAATTTGTTCATTTTATAGAGTATTCATAAACTTATTGTTGTGTTTACTGGTTTTACCTTTTTGCTAAACTAAGAACCTATTTTATGTTGTTCATCTCTTACTATAACCTTTGTAAGTTCTTTTTTTTTAAATCTGCCTCCTGTGTGTCTCTCTCTCATATGAAAAAAATTAACAAAAAGGGGAAATAATTGCAGTAAACATTAATACACCCATTAACTAAATCCTCCAATCAACACCCTTTTTGTTCCGTCATCTATTTCTCTTTTCATCCATCAGTCCATCTTAATTTTAATCCAGATTTAGTACTTTAGTTGCAGAATTAGTATGCTGAAACACTGTACAGTAATGAACATAATGAACTACAGTTCATTGTATTCAAAGAAAGGGTCAACTTTATTATCCCATTAGTTTTGACTATAAACTTGTATAATTTAAAATCTGAATGATGAACTCTGAAGACTTCACTCCAGTCCTTACTGCTCACTCTCCACATCCCAGATACCAGAAAATTTTTTTCCTTGGTTTTTTTTTTTTTGCCCTAGATAAATTAAGCTGATTCTAATGAATGGAGTAATATATTATACACTGCCATCCTCTGTTTATGAGTTATCCATATGGCTGCCAGTAATGGTAGTTTGTCCTCTTTTGTTTTATTGTGGGGGACATGGCTGTCAATATTCAAGGTCCCTCAGTGCCACTCCTGGCTATGCCGGGGGTGGGGATGGGGGGCCGGAATGTTGTACCAGGAAATAAACTCAGAGTTTTGACCCATGCAAGTCACATGCTCTACGGCTGGAGCCATATATCCTGTATGTCCTTTTCTCCCGAAAATCAGTGGTTATAATACTTTTTTTCTTTTCTTGGTTTTCCATTCAACATGTAGTAGTCTTTCTAAGAATTAAGCAATTTTAAATTTCTAGTTGTTAAAGCACAGTGCATGTGGCAGGCCCGGAGTATGCACTCAGCCTTGCTAGCCAGGCAGGTTACTTTTTGCCACAGAGCCGTCCCCCACTCAGGCTTCCTCTATATGCATTTTTTTTTTCATTTTGCTTTTTGGGTTTTGGGTCACACTCGGAGATGCACAGGGATTATTCTGTCTCAAGCACTCAGGAATTACTCCTGGTGGTACTCAGGGGACCATATGGGATACTGGGAATCGAACCCGGGTTGGCCACACACAAGGCAAATGAGCTACCGACTGTGCTATCACTCCAGCCCCTCTATTTGCTTTTTAACTGAATCACATTTTCGTGTCTTGAAATCATGAAGTTAAATTCCTGTATGATGATTCAAAAATTTTAAAGGTTCACTTTTTGTATCTAGGTATTTACTTCAGTTACAATTTGCTTTGCTACTTGTGTAAGAGTTGAATTTTATTATTTTTCTAGTTAAAATACCAAAAATCCCAGCACCATTTATTGAAGTTTTCTCCCTTCATAATTATTTATCTTTATTTAATTCAAATTATTAATTTGAATTCAGCAGAGCCTGGCAAGCTACCAGTGGCGGGTTCACTATGCCAAAAACAGTAACAATAGCGGGTCTCATTCCCCTGACCCTGAAAGGGCCTCCAATATGGCAGTGTTAGGAGAGATGAGTAAGGAGAGACTGCTAAAAATCTCAGGGCTGGGATGAATGGAGACGTTACTGGCGCCTGCTCGAGTAAATCGATGAACGTCAGGATGACAGTGATACAGTTGTTAAAACATGACTTGTTGAAAAAGTTTTTCTTTCCATTCGGATTGTTTTGCTGCCTTTATAAAAATCAGAAGTAAAACTGAGGGTTTTTATTCCCCTGTTTGTTTTTTTAAAATCTCATTGTATATTTTCAGTCTAGCATTGTCTGGATTATAACTTTTTATTTGAGGGGAGTGTAGATTTGGTCCCACCCAGCTTGTGCTCAGGGCTTACTTCTGCTTCTGCACTCAAGGATCACTTTTATCAGTGCTTAGGGGACCATATGCAGTGCCACTAATTGAACCCAGGGCACCAGTGTGCAAGGCCAGCATCTTTTACTGTACTCTCTCTCTCTCTCTCTCTCTCTCTCTCTCTCTCTCTGGCCCTGGCATTATGATAGCATTGTAATAATCTAGAGGTCGTTTCTAACCAATGCAGCTTTTTTTTTCCCCCCTTAAGATTTTATGTGATAGATTATTTGCATTTTCACTTTAGCGGTAGATTACCCCTGTATGTTTCTACATTCACGGTCACGGTCACAGTCCTCCCGTTGTTCATCGATTTGCTTGAGCGGGCCCATTAACATCTCCATCATGAGACTTGTTGTTACTGTGTTTGGCATATCAAATACGTCATGGGTAGCTTGCAAGGCTCTACCGTGCGAGCAAGATACTCTCGGTAGCTTGCCGGGCTCTCCGAGAGGAGCGGAGGAATCGAACTTGGGTGGGCCATGTTGGCTGCTTGTAAGGCAAACACCCTGCCGCTGTGCTATCGCTCCAGCCCATGTTTCTACATTACACCTCTGAATTTTTAATAAAAAATAAAAGGCCCTCCCGTTGATCGTCGATTTGCTTGAGCGGGCCCAGTAACGTCTCCATTGGAGACTTTGTTGTTACTGTGTCTGGCATATCGAATACTCTCGGTAGCTTGCCGGGCTCTCCGAGAGGAGAGGGGCAGAGGAATCGAACTCGGGTCGGCCAAGTTGGCCGCGTGTAAGGCGAACGCCCTACCCGCTGTGCTATTGCTCCAGCCCTCTGAATTTTTATTAGGGTTATATTTAATCTATACATTAATTTGGGGAGAATTGGTATTTTAATAATATTGACCCTTTAATTTATGGACATTCCACAACTCACTCTATAAGTTTTCTTCAGTTTCTCTCAGCAGCATTTTATCATTTTCATTGCCACATTGAATTTTCAATGAACTTTAAAACTATAGAATTCTTTTTTTCCCTTCTCTTCATTTTAGGTTCTGGATCCATTTCGCTTTATGAAGTTGAAAGATGTCAGCAACTGTCAGCTACAAGTAAGACCATGTTCCATTTTTAAATTAAGAACATACACAGTCAGCATCCTAAGTTTTTATACTTTTTAACTAATTCACATTCATGAAATAGTGCAAGCAGATATTCCTAAGGACAAAAATATGTCCATATTTGGCTTTTTATCCCTCTACTTCAACCTAATTGACCTAGAGTGAAAACCATAAAGACATACATTTTACATTAACTACATATAGGAAACGTATTATTGAAAAGTGTGGTGGTTCTTATTTTTAGCTTGATACTGTAAGGTATCTTGATGTGTTAGCAGTTCTCTGTAATCAGTTTAGTTAACACTGTGCATTTAGCAATGTGCATATAGTGTTCATAAGCAGAGCTCCTTATGCTACTTCCCCAGACTTATCTGATGTTAGTAATGATGGGAAATCTATCAGATTCTCTCCTTGTGTTAAGCGAAGTTTTTTTTTTTTTTAAGAAAATACAGTTTTTAAGCACAAATCTATTAAAAAAGCTTAACAATATACTGTTGGTAAAAATGCAAGTTTCTCATTGGAGAAAGGACATTCAAATGTGAAACGGGAGAAGGCTCAAAACAGATGGTTAATATATTGGAATTGGATGTGTTAGTATATACCCATGGTGCTACAAACCAATACAGAAGTAGATACATGTAATTTTGATTCTGTTTTTAATTTAGGACCAGAGATGTGGGTCAGTAGTACAGCCTTGCATGTGTGAGACCCTTGCTTTAGTCTAGCAGTACAGAGAGAGAGGGTGGGAGGGAGCGAGGGAGCGAGTGTGTGTGGGGGAGGGGGGGAGAGACAGAGAAAGGGAGGGGTAGAGAGAGAGAAGAGAGAGAGACAGAGAGAGAGAGAGAGATTGATTTTGACATTTGGTAGGATTAAAGCGAGTATAGACGTGAGCTGTCCCAACCTTTTTGAAGCTTATAAGACTTGTGTATCAGTTCTACTTCTGTTGTTGTTGTTATTCTTGCAGTTTTTTGGTGTTAGAAATCAAACTCTTTAGCCACATCCCTGACCCTCTAGTTTCTAAAGTAAAGATAGGTGCTGATATGAAATGTCTAAAAGTTGAATAAATGTTGTTACTTTAAGCTAACCGACATGACAAAATAATTTTATTTACCCTTGAAAACTCTCCAGTATTACCTTCAGTGTATTTCCCCAAAGTTAGCTGAAGAGACCATTTTGTTTCATAGGCAGTTGTGCCTAATGCATCTTTTCGATTTTTTTTTTTTTCCTCTTGGTATGACTCTAAAACCTCTGCTCTTCCCTGCCTCTGGGACCATTTTCCTCATCCAGCATTCCCTCCCCATCATGAAACCAGATTCCTCCTTGGGGTCCCATTCTACACCCACAGTAGACGATTCTCTCTGTGGTGACTCAGGAGCATGTAGCTTGAAGCATCAGGGAGAGGAGCCTGCTCAACAAATTATATTTAACATATTTTGTTCTTTTTCAATAAAGAGTCACTAGAACTTTGTTGACTAACGGGTCACTAAGAGATGAATAAATTAGTAACTATTCATAAATGTTTTACAGCTAACAATTTAGCTGCTTTCACTAAGTTTAGACAGGAAGTTGCCAGTATTCCCGTGTAGAATGCTTTTTATACATTTACTGAATTACCATCTTTCTTACCTGCTTATCCAACCACTATTCAGTAGCTATTTTTTGAGCACCTTCAGTGTGCCTGGCATTGTCTTAGGGAATAAAGACAGCCTTGTCTTTGTGGAATTGACTGTGTAGCTTTATTTCTTTTGATGTTTGTGTATATATTTGGTTTAGCAGAATTCATTCCTGTCAGAAATATGGTTCTTCTAGATTATTCTATTTAATCTCTAAATTCTTTATAGTTCTTACAGACCATCAACATTTGGAGAAAACCCCCCTATGTGCTATTTTAAAGCAAAAAGCTCCACGGCAATATCGTATTCGAGCAAAATTAAGGTCATACAAGCCCAGACGACTCTTCCAGTCTGTTAAACTTTATTGTTCCAAATGCCATTCACTGTAAGTACACTTTTATAACAAAAATAGGCTTTCTTGTTTTTGTTGTTGTTTGACTCTGTATTATATTTTCGGGTATTTTTAATTCTTTGCAGTGACTAAGTTGTGACTTTATATATTGGGTTTTAAAGAAATGGTAATTTTTTTAGGGAAAATATTAAACTCTTAGAGTAAATACTTGTTTTTTTTCCTTAGTAATGTAAATAAATGCAGTTGCTATTTTTAGGTTTGAAATTTAATTTAGTATCTCTGAGGATAAATGAAAACAGAATTAAATATTTGGGGAGTCTTTCTAATTTGTGATCAAAAATATTTAAAAATAAACATTAACTAAAATTGTTATATACAAATTTCATTAGTTAAATTTTCTAATGAGGTGATATGGTAGTGAAAATATTGTGTTTGCTTTACTTTTTTTTTGTCATACCCCTCAAAAAAACAAAACTGTGCTCAGGGCTTATAATTAGTACCGCACTCAAAGATAATACTTGGAAGGGCTCCAGCGACTATATGGGGTGCTGGGGATCAAATTTGGGTCAGCAGCTTGCCTTTAACTGTACTATCTCTCCAGACCCAGAAATATTTCTTTTCAATAATATAGTAAATATCATTCACGTGTTTCTTAGTAATTGAGAATGACTGTTTCAGTCTTTATTCCAATATCAACTATTTTATTCATAATTTACATTCATAATTCAAATATATTTATCACAGATCAAGAGGAATAAATTTTTATTAGCCCAGCATATTCCAAAAATTATTGCTGAAAATTCATTAGCTGTCCTTACATTAAAGGGAGGAGAGGGGGGACAGCTGTTTGAAATAATTATAAGTCACTTTGATACCACAGAGTGAGCTCAGGAAATTGTGGTGTTAATGTAATTATGGTGTTATTAATACATAGTTGTGAAATATTGTGAAATATACTTAGTGAATAAGTTTTTAATTTGAAAAATAATCACTATAGTTTTGGGGTTTTTTTTTTTTTTTGGTTTTCTAGTTTTCTTGTTTTGTTTTCATTTGGGGGCACCCTGGAGGTGCTCAGGGCTTACTTCAGGCTCTACACTCAGGGATCATTATTGTCATGACTCAGGGAATCATATGAGGACTTTACAGGGCTTCTGGGAATTGAACCCAGGTCCATCGAATAAAGGCAAGTGTCCTACCCCACTGTACTATCACTCCAGCCCCAGATATCATTATAGTTTTAAAAAGTACCAAGCTCCTCATCAGCATATAAACTTTTTGATGCAATTTTCAAGTGTATATCAGTCCAAGTGTTTTATGTCATTTATTTTAATCATTTCAGGCAGGAAGTTCCAGATGAGCGTGATTTAGACATCATTTTGCAAGAGGGTTCAACTAAAATTTCAGATTCCAACATACAAAATACTTCATTATATGATTCAAAAGTCTGGACTTCTGAAGATCAAGAACGAAAAGTAGCTTTTCATTTTGTGAAAAATAATGGTATTCTCCCACTATCAAATGACTGTCTAATTTTGATAGAAGGTAGGATACTTAAGTTATTGCTATGTTAGAATACCAATTTTGTTTATGTATTTTTAACTATAGTAAAATATGCTTTAGGAATAACTTATGGCATAAAAAGTCAAAATATTGTTCATTTAAATGTCATTAAGTAGAATGTTATACGTAACAAGTGTGTTCAAATACTATATGTATATAATTTTTTTGAATTATATTTCGAAACTATACATAAAGGCTGGAGCGATAGCACAGCAGGTAGGACGTTTGCCTTTCACACAGCCAACCTGACCGACCCAAGTTCGATTCCTCTGCCCCTCTCAGAGAGCCTGGCAAGCTGCCTAGAGTATCTTGTCCTCACGGCAGAGCCTGACAAGCTCCCCGTGACGTATTCATTATGCCAAACACAGTGTTACTGGCCTACTCGAGCAAATCGATGAACAATGGGGTGACTGTGACAGTGAGTCAAGTGTTTGTGTTTATTCCTCTTACTAATCATCTTATAGTCTAAATCAGAACCAAGCTGTTTGTTGAACAAGGTAATAATTTTAAGAGTTTGTTATGCGCAATTTCTCTATTTGGCCTCTGGATGTCACTGTTGTTTCATAAAAATAGAACCAAAAATGTCTATTGATACCTAAACCAAGTAAAGATGATATAATTTAAAAAATAAAATGTTGAGTCATTTATATATTTTCTTCACCTTTTTTTGTACTTTGAAAAATTTTAACATAAAGTTTATTTTTCCGGGGATTTTTCTTCTTTAATAGTATTTTATAATCCAAGGGAAATATTTCTAATTTTTATTAGATACATTTTAGTTTTATTTTAAAAGAATTGATCTTTATTAAGTGGATTCTAATCCATTTTTATTACTGACATTTTTTATTTGTAAAAGTAATACATAATTGGGGCTGGAGCAATAGCATACCGGGTAAAGCGTTTGCCTTGCACACAGCCAACCCAGGTTCGATTTCCAGCATCCCATATAGTCCCCTGAGTACCACCAGGAGTAATTCCTGAGTGCATAGGCATGAGTAACCCCTGTGCATCGCCGGGTGTGCCCCAAAAAGCAAAAAAAAAAAAAGTAATACATAATTTTGGAAAAAAGGTTTGGATGTTCATAAGTATTTTTACATATAAACATTAGTTTGTTTATGACTATCTCTTGTTTTAATATATTCATAGTATAACAGAAGCTATTATAATTAATTTCCTCCGTTATCACAGAAATCCTACACAGTTAAGACTATTTTAAACTGTTGTTGTTTTTTATTGGGGGGGGTGGGCCAGGTAATACTCAAGGCCTAATCTTGACCCTGTGCTTGGGGGACCATATGTGGTACCAGGGATCAAACCAGAGTAGGTCACAGCAGGGCGAGTACCTTAACCGCTGTATTGTCTCTCTAGCCCATATGATGCTCTTTTGAGAAAACTGGAACACAGAGGTGTTTCATTTCTTCTAGTAAAAGTAGTAACTGGTGAAGCTGAATTGTGGCAATCTTTTCAACACAGTAACTCTGTGATAAGATTTATCTCTGCCCTGGATAGAGTAAAATGATGGGGGCACAAGGAGTGAAGTAAAAATTGCCACAATTTCTTTCCAGTAAAATTCCCCCTATGTGCATATATATATTTATGTATTTAGCAGCATATGAAAGTATCTGTGCTGGAGTGATAGCACAGCGGTAGGGCGTTTGCCTTGCACGCAGCCAACATGGCCGTCCCGAGTTCGATTCCTCCGCCCCTCTCGGAGAGCCCGGCAAGCTACCGAGAGTATTCGATATGCCAAACACAGTAACAACAAAGTCTCCAATGGAGACGTTACTGGGCCCGCTCGAGCAAATCGATGAACAACGGGAGGACAGTGACAGTGATGAAAGTATCTGCTCCCTAGCTACACATATATATCAGTGCTTTAATAGAACACAATGGGCTGGACAGAGCGTCCAGCAGGCAGGGATCTTGCATTTTGGTAATTTTGGTTTACAGCACTCTATGCCTTAGAATTGACACGCTGCTTCAGATATATGTTGCTGCACATTGCTCCCTACCAAAGTTCCAGTGTCCTTCTACTACTGTCCTTTGGACCCTCTCTTCCAATTCCTCTTGCCCAACCTTCCCTCTCTGGAGTCCTCATTTTGTTGTTCAAAAGGGTTTTAATATAATTTAATATTAAGACACCACAGTTTCCAGAGTTATTCATAGTTGAGTTTCAGGCTTACAGTGTTCTAACCCCACCAGTGTCAACCTCCCCCCACTAATGTCCTCAGCTTCCTTCCCACCCTGCAGCCTGCCTCCTTGACAGAAACGATTCAAGTTTGTCTACTGGAGTTAAGATCTCATGTTTTCCAAATTGTTCATTTTGTAAATAATTACCTCTATACCACCTTTATGCCCAGGGCCCACCCCTGACCCCTATTATATCTCATCTGCCTCCTCTTACTCCCCCCCTCAGTTTCTTTCTTTCTTTGTCCTTCACATTGCTGTAATCTAAGTTTTAGGGTAATTTAGGTCTCTCCACCTTTGATACCTTGCAGTCCATTGTCTGGTAGCACTGTAGCTCTGTCTTCCCATTGTTCATCGATTTGCTCGAGCAGGCACCAGTAACGTCTCCATTGGAGACTTGTTGTTAATGTTTTTGACATATTGAATATGCTGTGGGGAGCTTGCCAGGTTCTGCCATGCGGGAGGGATACTCTTGGTAGCTTGCTGGGCTCTCCAAGAAAGATGGAGGAATCGAACCTGGATCAGCCACGTGCAAGGCAAATGCCCTACTCACTGTGCTACTGCTCCAGCCCATTGTCTTGGTATTCTATATAAGTAAGATCATCCGATATTTGCTCTCTTCTTCTGACTTGCTTTGCTTAAAATTGTACCCTCCAGTTCCATTCATGTTGAAGTAAATTGTATGATTTCAACTAAAGGAATTTTTTTTCCATCTGTTCATTTGCTTTATTCCTTGATATTTCACATAAGTAAAATCATCAGGATTTGTCTTTTCTGACATTTTATTTACCATAATTCTTTCCCTTCCATCTAAATTGTAACAAATGGCAATATTTATTTTTCTTATGGCTATCTACTGTCCCACTGTGGATTTATACCAAACAAATGCATTTTTTAATGTACTCATTGGCACAAGTTCATTTATTTAACACATTATTGAGTGCCTACTGTATGCCAGGCAGTCACTTAGGCAATAGGTATATTGCAGTGTCTCATCTCATCAGACTTGATTTTAAGAGCCTGCAGTGAGTAAAAATCTAACAGTGACAATAGCAACCATGGAAATAGTTGTCGTACACTGCTCTGAGTGCTTTATATATATTAACTCTTTTTATCTTTATGAGCAGCTTATGGAGTGACATTATTTTAACAGTTTTTCAAAACAAGAAACTGAAACTAGTACACCAAAAGTTTACATGACTTGCCCATCTCAAGTACTACACAGTGCTGGACAAACAAATGAAAGTGACCACCAGGATGCTTGCCAGGGCCCCTTCGTGTATCATTAGCTATTTTTGAGGATAAACTTTGTTGCTGAATACTGGTGGATGCACTGCAGTGTTTTTGTAGTTTGTGGGGTCAGCTTAATAGGCTATATAGCATTCTCCACAACAGATTCTGAGCTCTGGGTTACGTATGCAGCTTTTAAGAATACATACATAGAGAATATTTGAATATTGGTAATATTTTCATACATAATGAATATTAGAGGGTGTTTGAGGTTGTTTTTGTTTTTGATCTTTGGACACTGCCCAGGAGTGCTCAGGGCTTACTCCTGGCTCTGCACTTAGGCATCCCTCCTGGCAGTGCTTATGGAACCATATGTAGTGCCACAGATGAAAGCTGGGTGCCTTACCCACTGTACTATCTTCAGTTTCTGCAACTCTTTTCTTTTGCTGGTCTCAGCATTCTTGCCTATTAGCTCTTCTTTCCCAAAGTGTAGGACTCTTAAGTTTACAAATTATTATTATTCTCTGTAATAATCTCACTGATTTAAGTGATGAATTAAATCTGAGTGTATCATGTGCTTCATTTTACCTACATTACGGTTCTGCTACACGACAGTTTATTTTTGTCCTTTAATAGGTGGCACATTCCGTGAAATCATCAACCTCTCAAACAAGTTCCATAGTGTAATTCCTGTGAAATCTGGCCCCGAAGACCTAGAACTCCTCAACCTTTCGGCACCGTTCCTCATACAAGGAAAAACACATCACTATGGGTATGTTTTCAGTTATGGGAATTTGGGGAGTTAAATGTCATCTAAGAATAATTTTAGGATTATTCTAGAACTGCCTAGCAATAAAAGTTAAGTGAGTGAGTTAAGAATTTTATGCTGTAAATTACAGATGAGTTAACTACTGAGAATTTGGAAGCTTAATAGAATACATTAGAGATGGGAAAATCTGTTAATTTGTTTGTTTTGTTTTATGGGGTCACACCCAGCAGTGCTCAGGGCTAACTCCTGGCTCTGAGCTCAGGGATCACTTCTGGCAAGTGTCAGGTGGACCTTATATGGTGCCAGGGATAAAATATGACTGGTTCAGGTGCAAGGCAAATACCTTGCCTACTATATTATCCCCTCTGACCCCTAGAAAGATTTATTTGCATTTTGAAAGAATCAGTGAAGATATAATAAATATTCTTTGCTTCTGGTTGTTGATTCAGTAAGTCTTCTGCTTAGAGAAATCTTAGGATTATAAAATGTGCTTTGTCATGCCATGTTTCTCTTTCCTACTCCTAAATAAGGTAGCAAGTGTTACTCCTTGTTATAAAGTGTAAATACTGGTTTCAGTTAAGAAATAAAGCTATTTTTGTAGAGTTAAATCTTGTGTCCCAGCAACATTTTTTCTCATCGGATGCATCATCTCATACTCACTTTATCATGGCTTATTTATAAATTAGATAAAAAATAAAGTTTCATTGAGCCTTTTCTTTCAGTAAATCACTAGATTGTTTTTTCTTTGTTTGCATTCTCATTCACATTTGTTTTTTCTTTTTTTCTCTCTTTTCTCCTTCTTGCCCTCTTATTAATTACTAGTTTTGAAGCAGAAAATTCATAAGTTTTTAGAAATATTCTTCACTTAATTGAGGTCCAAGTGCAAATATTGTCTAGGCTTTACACATTTCTGATCAGTATAGCCTGAAATATTAGAATTTAAGATGCTTGTATATTCCATTACTTTGAATTTTATCAGCAAGAGTTTATCTTTTGCTGATTAAAAATGTTTCATTGTAATAAATAATTATTCCTACTGATAATTATAAAAAAATACATTATAAGCAATTATGTACACTCCACTTAGACTTAATAGATGTCGACATCTTTGTATATTTTTTCAGGTTTTTATTCTGCTTTAAAATAAAATTTTAAAATGTCAAAATAAAATTTTACAGATGCATGGATAAGGTACACCAGGTCTGGCTAGGTGGGATAATACTTGCATCCGTGAAGCACTGGATTTGATTCCCAACACCACAAGAAAAAAGAATACTTTCTCAACAGCCTCCTCTTTCTTTTCCTTCTCAGATAGAGACTTTCCGAAACTGGGAGTTAATTCTTATTAATGCTCTTATGTTTTCACATGATATATGTATAAGTTTTCAGGGAGTATAGCATATTATTTTGTGTGTTTTAGTTAAACTGTTTCAGTTAAGTGTATTGCAGTCAGTATTATTATTTAATGGTCTGGTGTAAAGTATAAAATGTGATGAAACAAGGGTTAAGAGAGATCATTTTACATAGTAAGATCAGTGTTCTTTCCTGAATGTTTCTGTTCTGCATTTCTGTATACATACTGGATCATGATATAAAGTGAATTTCTTACTATGAGTTCTCTTACCCAAAACTTTGAAAGTAACTGCTGCAAGGTATTCAACTATCATTTGAGTTACTCTATTGTGCAGTGTGCAAGTTTTGTGTTTCCGAGCAAAATTATCACTGATTGGAACATCGATTATCCAATCCATGCTTGAAACATTTTATGGGCTGATCAGCAGTGTTTAAAATTTTAATTTCTAATTTTTAAACTTGCTCCTCTGATGAGTTGTCAAATGAATGGAATAGATGACTAATGAACTTAAACTAAAAGTGAGTTTCTGGTCGTGTGTGTGTGTGTGTGTGTGTGTGTGTGTGTGTGTGTATCTGATTATAAAGCTTTTTCCCATATTAGGTACAAATCTTTTATTAGTTACATTACAGAAACTCAAGAAGGCGTGACATTTTTATCTGTTGTTTGGTTTTACCATTTTAAAAATATTAGTATAGTTATGCATATTAAAAATGTTGGTTGCTTTTTGTGTCATAGCCACAGCTGGTGGTGTTTAGTGCTTTCTCCTGGCTCTGAACTCAGGAATCACTCCTGGGATTGCTCAGGGGACCGTACGATATACCAGGGAATCCAACCAGAGTAAGCAGTACAAGATAAGCCGTACTCCCCCCTGTACTCTATACAGCACCTCAAAATGTTTTGTAAAACAAGAATTTTACAGAATTTCAATTAGATTTCTGGATATAAAGCTTAATAGAATTCATTTTGACTGTTTTAATAATGAAAATTTTCTGGAGAAGTATTTATTCCCTTGTGGGGGTTAGAGGGGTGCCAGACTCCAAAGCAGCACCCTGGGGGCCCGGCGGGGAGGTTCAGTTCCAGCAGAATTTGTCATTCTGTGAGGTCTAGTGAGTTCAATTCTCAGGCCATGAAGTGCTGAGGTGACCAGGACTACACCCACTAGTGTTTGGGGCACTGCCTGAATCAAATTTCAATCTGTATGTGGACCTGCCATCCAGCCCTTTTCTATTGTGCTTTTTTTAGTTTTCTTATTTTACGTTATTTAGTTTTCCTTTTTCAAGATTTTTAACTGAATGCTTAGATCCCTTAACATTAATTTGAATAAATATTCATTGCCAAGTCTATAGTTTTCCCCAAGACGATTGCTTTAGCTTTAATATAAAATCTTATATGTGGTGATTTTTCTTCATTTCTAAATGTTTCATAGTTTCCTTATGGTTTCTTCTTTGGCCCATGAATTACTTAGCTGCATATTAAAATATTTCACACAAACAGTTTAGGTGTTCATTGTTTATATTTTAGTTAGATCACTTTACAGCCAGACAACATGGTGCGGCTTATAATGATTCTTTGAGATTTGGGTAGTTTTGTGCTATCCTATAATAGGCATTTTCAGATCGCTTATCTATTGTATAGTTAGCTTTTTTACTTAAAAATAAAATGTTGTTTCTTTCCTACTTACTTTGTCATTTAGTTAGGGGAAATGTTCCTGGAGTAAATAGAGCAAAGGAATATGTTTCTGAATCTTTGTACATTCCCCAAAGGAGCACAGTGATACATAATTTACTCTTGAAGTAAATAAATCAAACTGAAATAAGTATAAACTTTATTTGAGCCTGTGCGAAGTACTCTACTAAACTCTCATAGAATGAAACTCATCTTAAAAGAATGAAACAAGTAAGAGTGGCAAGAGGATGAATCTGGTTTCAGGGATATAAACAGAACATGAAGAGCCTCAAACCAATCGTTCAGGATCTTGATGAAGAAGTCTGACCATCTGGTAGGTGGGCGGCCACACGGTCTTTTGACATCCTGTGGAATCCAGTCAGTAACGGCTCTAGTCCAGCAGTCATCTCCAAATCTCATTACGAGTCCAGCCCATCTGATTTTTGATGCCTTGGCAAATGAGACAGCGTCCCTGATTCTTGATCGTCTACGAGCTAAGTTTGCAGGAAGATACACTTTCAGCAGCTTGAAAGGCTGGCGAAGAAGTGGGTGTCTTGGCCTGGAGAAAAGCAGTCGTGAGCGTCTGCCGTCCCCTCTTCACTCCTCACGCGGTGCCCATCTCATCTCAAACCCAGGTCAGCTCAGCCTCTGGTGTGTGGCCCCGGGACTTCCATCTCTCCCTTCGGGTCCTCAGGCGTCCCTGCAGACGCCTGGAGAAAAGCAGCCGTGAGCATCTGCCGTCCCCTCTTCACTCCTCACGTGGCACCCATCTCATCTCAAACCCAGTTTTCTGTAGAGTTGTGGCCTCTTCAGAAGTGGGCGTCACTTCAGAAGTGGGCATGGTTTTTTTCTGGCCGGCGGCCGCTAATGCAGCCGCAGGTTGTTTATCCATTCTAAAGAACCTAGTTCCCAAGGAATTTAGTCCCCAACGTACTCAGCAATATGAAAAAACAAAGAAAATACCCACCACAAGTGGAGGACAACAAAAACAATCCAGAACATTCTGTCGATACCGCTCACCTAAGGGACCTCTCTGACATAGAATTCAGATACGAAGTCATCAAGATGTTCAATCAACTCAATGAAACAGTCAGACAGACAGCCAGTAACACCACAGAAAAAATCGACAAATTACACGAAGAAATGAGAGCAGAAATGTCACGATGAAAAGACTCTATAGATGAAATGAGAAACTCAGTTTCTTCTCTTAAAAATAGAATGACCGCAGCTGAAGAGAGAATCAGTGAGCTGGAAGATCAGCTGCGCCAAGCCAACACGCAACAACAAACAGTGGCAAGGGACCTCAAAATAGCTTTACAGAGAATCAGAGTCCTAGCAGATGATTCCAAGAGGAACAACGTTAGAATCATGGGACTACCTGAAGCTCAGGGAAACAATCCCAATGAAAAAAACACCGTCAGACAAATCATTGCTGAAAAATTCCCAGAGCTCTGCAATGCAGCCATTCAGGTTCAAGAAGCCCGAAGGGTGCCAGCTAAAAGAGACCCCAACAAAATCATTCCAAGACATATCATAGTTAGAATGATCGATGCTGCCGATAGAGACACAATACTGCAAGCAGCAAGGACAAAGAAGGAAATCACATACAAAGGAGCACCCCTTAGATTCACAGCAGACCTATCAGAGGAAACCCTGCAAGCCCAAAGGCAGTGCAAGATATAGTCAAAAAACTCACTGAAATGAATGCTTCACCAAGAATACTCTATCCGGCTAAACTCTCCCTCAAAATCGAAGGAACAGTACACTATTTTCTAGATAAACAGCAGCTCAGGAACTTCATAAACTCAAAACCAAACCTTAGCAAGGACTAAAGGGGCTACTATAAGACAAGACAAATCCTTCAACCACAACACACCCACACAGAAAATGACACAAAACCCCATAACCATACTCTCTCTCAACGTCAATGGTCTAAATTCACCATTTAAGAGACACAGAGTGGCAAAGTGGATACAGAGACAGA